CTATGTGACTCAGCTGTAATAATATTATAATTACTAAAAGACGATTTAACCAGACTTTGTAATATAATTATATTGGGTGACATGAGGTATGAGATGGGGGTGGCAATGGTACCAGTATTATGATATCTAAATCCTCACTTTCCATAGTAGGAAGACAATAGCTAATGTCTCAAATAGAAAGAGCAATATATATATATATTATTTAGTAGTATGAATATGTATGCCAGAATAAAAAAGCTAAAATAGTTGAAAATTGTTGCCTCTGGGAAGGTGAACATGAGAGTGGGAAGGAAAAGGTTGGGAAACCCGTTTTTTTTAATGTGCTTTTTAATACTGTTGTGGGTTGAATTATATTCCCCCGAAAACTTATGTTCAAGTATTAACCTCCAGTACCTGTGAATGTGACCTTATTTGGAAATTGGCTCTTTGCAGATATAATCAAGTTAAGATGTGGTCACACTGGATTAGGGTGGGCCCTAAATTCAATGACTGGAATCCTTCTAAGGATAAAGAGCTACAGGGACCCAGAACAGACACAGACACACAGGCAAAGAAGTCTGTGTAACTACAGAGATTGAGATTGGTACAATGTAGCTGCAAAGCCAAAGAATGTCAAGGGCTGCTGGCCACCACCAGAGGCTAGGAAGAATCAAGGAGGATCCTTCCCTAGATCCTTCAGAGGAACATGGCCCTGGTGACACCTTATTTCAGACTTCTAGCCTCCAGAGCTGTGAGGGAATAAATTTCTCTTATTTAAGCCACCCAGTTTGTGATCATTTGTTACAGCAGCTCTAGGAAAATAGTACAGATACTGTTTGATATTTAAAACTATATAAATATATATAAATACACACAAACTTTTGACGAAAACAAATTTTTTTCCCCCTTAGGTTCTCTCATGAAGTTGAACAATTATTATTATTATTATTATTATTTTTGTCTTTTTCGTGACCGGTAAGGGGATCGCAACCCCTTGGCTTGGTGTCGCCCGCACCGCGCTCAGCCAGTGAGCGCACCGGCCGTTCCTATAGAGGATCCGAACCCGCAGCGGGAGCGATGCTGCGTTCCCAGCGCTGAACTCTCCCGAGTGCGCCATGGGGCCGGCCCTGAACAATTATTTTTTAAAGAACAAAAATTGTCTACTCCCCCACCTCTACTTCCCCTCCCATGATTTCTCTTAACCTACTACAATCAGGATTCCATCCCCAGACCTCCCTCCATGTTGACAGATTCAACATTACTCTTCTGTTATAGTCTTATCTAGACTTATCATCAATACCTGTAAGAGCTGACCACTCCCTTCCTTTTATAATACTTTTTTCTATTGGCTTCTGTGATATCACACTCTCCTTGTTTGTCTTCCTCCTCACTGACTCCTTTTTTTAACTCCTACCTGTGGGCTCTTCCTTATCTGCTCAACCTCTAAACATTTGAATGCCTATGTCATAGCTTCCCTTTTCTTCTTTCTATGAACTCTCTCTGGGTGATACATCTACACCAATGGCTCTAACTCCCATTTGCATGCAGATGGCTTCCAATCTTGACCTCTAGCTCTGACCTCTCCCCAGAATTCCACACTGCCCTACTTCATAGCTCCACAGAGAGATCAAATATGTATATCAAACTTAACAAAATCAAGGGCTGGCCAGTTGGCTTAGCTGGTTAGAGAACAGTCTTGTGACACCAAGGTTGCAGGTTAGGATCCCTGTACTGACGAACCACCAGAAGAAATTTTTTAAAAACTTAACAAAATCAGAACAGAAACTCTTGATTTTCTTTTCTGTCTTCCTTTTTCTCGGAAAATGGCACTAACAACTCAAGCCAAACATGTAGAAATCTGTTCTTGCATTCTTCTCCCACTCACATCTATACCATCAGGAAGTACTGGCACCTGTACTGCAAAAACAGACTCCAATTCAAGCTTTCTTTCCATCTCCCTTCATTCAAGCTACCATCTCTTGCCTGAACTCAAAAACAGAATAAAACCTAAATTTACAGAAGATAACATAACTTGACCACTTCTCCCTTTTGTTTACAATAATTCCTGACTTTTTTCAGTCCCCTGAACATACCACACCAACCAAGCTTATCTCTACCTTAAAGCCATTAAGCTGATAGTCATTCCCTTTGCCTGAAAGTCTATCTTCCATATCACTCTTTTTTTTTTTTCCTGACCGGTAAGGGGATCACAACCCTTGGCACGGTGTGGTCCACACCACACTCAGCCAGTGAGCACACCAACCATCCCTATATAGGATCCGAACCCGCGTCCTCAGCGCTACCAGCGCCGCACTCTCCCGAGTGAGCCAAGGGGCCGGCCCTTCCATATCACTTTTTAAATCTACCAAACACAACATTTTAGAACCTATACTCACTATTTTTAAATCTAATACTTACAACATTACTATATAATATACAGGCAACTACATAAACAAGAAAACAATCTCCCCCAGTAGAGTGTAAGCCCCATGAGGGCTGGGGCCTGATCCGTTTTATCAATGTTTCTCCAGTGTCTAGAACAGTGTCTGGTACATTGTAACCACTCAATAAGTAGCTATCTAATGAATAAGTATATACTGTATGTTCCAAAAAAAGAAAGAGCTAGTGGTAAAGCAACACTTGAAGATTCAACTGGTTGTAAGGAGGAAATAATGCAGATGCCTGGCTCTCAGATATGAGTGCAATCACAGCTTGAGATGCTTTTAAGAAAAGTGTATTCATCAAGGAAAAGCCTGGTTACAGAAAAAGGAAAAGAAAGAAATCAACTGTTCAAGAAAACGGATGAAGATCTTTGGAAAAACTTTAATACAAAATATGAGTCCAGAGGACAAATGAAGGATTTAGAATGCAGAAGATGGGGTCTCAACTAGCATGCACTGACCTAAATGGGGATAAAAATGTGTAGGAACACAACTATGTGGAGGTGTTGGAACTTCCTAAGGGAAGATAAAATTGGGGAGTCTAAAGATACTTGAAACCTTAAAACCCAAGAGTAAATTTGTTTTGAAGCCACTGAGGAGTCAGATGAAGGTCCAGGAGAGACACAATCAAAATAGTTTAAATACAAAGATTACTTCTGCTAGGTGCAAGGCAGCTGAGAAAATGGCAGAAGCTGTCATAGGACTAGGATGATAGTCAGGACTTGGGTTAAATGAAACCTTTTGATTCAGAGAATATTTAGATGATGAATTTTATTCTAGATTTAGAATAAACAGATTTATTTTCTCTTTGACCTGGTTCAATAGGGTTCAATAAATATCACTTAAGTTCATAGTCCAGGTAAAGAAACAAAAACTAAAACAAACTGTTATTTGACTTAGAACAGAGCTGTGGAACTACAAATTCAATGTTACCCACCAAGCAGAGCATCAACTATGTACAAGGGATTGTAAGGGACAGAAAAGCAATCAAGACAGCCCCTGTGCTTGCAGCGGGTTATGCTTGCTTGCCAAAAACAGCCACAGCAATATCCCCAGTCCTGCATGTTCTTCCAGAATCTTGCCACCCTTCCAGAGGTAGAATCTATTTACATCTCCTTGAATTGGGATGGACTTTGTGACTACCTGGACAAATAGAATGCAGCAGAAGTGTCTTCCATGGCTAAGGCATAAGAGGCAACATGACTTCTACCTGGCTCTTACAGACTCATAATGTTCACACTTTGAATCCAGTCACCATGCTGTGAGGAAGCCCAACCCATGTGTAAAAAATATGACAAGGGCTGGCCAGTTCGCTCAATTGATTAGAGTGCGGTATTATAACACCAAGGTCAAGGGTTTGGATCCCTGTACCAGCCAGCCACCAAAAAAACTAACAACAAAAAAATGAACAACACGTGATGAGGTCCACGTAAGAGAAGAACTGGAGCCCACTGCACTCCGTCCAAGTTCCTGACCGTAACCATAACATGCCCATTGTATGCCACTAAATTTAAGGGTATTTTATTACACAATCATCAATAATCAAATAGTGGTCAAGTAATTTACAATCTAGTAGGAGCAATAAATAAGGATACAAATAACTAATGTAAGGCAGGATGTGATGATTACTACACAGAATATAAACCAAGGACCCTGGGAGAGGAGCATAAAGAAATAATACCAGGTAAGGGATGCAGCAGTGAGAGAAAAATAGAGAAGGCTTCACAGAGATAGCCTCTGAGCTAGAAGACATATAGAGCTTTAAAGGAAAACAACAACAATAAGAAAAAAAGAAAGTCTGGTAGAACTTGTTGACAAAGTAAGACATCAAAAGGACCTTCTTAGAGACAAAAATTCAACTTTCTTTTTCTTTACACATAATCCCTAATACCTGAACAGAACCAAACTATTTTCAGGGCACTGTAGGAAACATTATTCTATAAAGAGACAAGGTGGAGTTCTACAGATTGACTTTGATCATACGAATTATTAAATTCTTGCTGTTTAACTTCTATGCAAAGGTTAGGGTCTAACTCTGACCCTAAGAAATAAAAGCCACTTATCAGTGTTTCCTTTGATGTACTGGCCAAGACAAAAATCAGTGCCTCGCTTGCTCACTGTTCTTGACCCAATATCAGCTTAATGACAGCAATTCTCTATGCTTAGTCTTCTTTGGAGTTCTAGGGGTCACTTACAGGGAGGTATTTGTCTTAAACCAAAATGAAAAGAGCCAGAGCCTAATGACAGTCATAAAAGGCTGAGTAAATTCATAAGCTGCTTTAATTGCTGAAATTTACTCCCTACTTCCCTGTTAAGGGCATGAAAATTATATCTACAGGCATCAGGCTGACAACCTGGGAAATAATTATTACTTACCAAACCAAATCAAAGCATTTAGCTCTCCAAGCTGGTCTGTACAAGTAGAATCTTGAAAGAAGTAACTTTGAGATGCTTGTTCAGCAATGACTACTCAAGAGATTCACCTTCGATTTGGGATCCCTCCCACATCAGACCTCCTGTTAAAGTGTTCAGGTAAGGAGTCCTTGAAAACCCAGAAACTTTAGAATTTGTTCTCCTCACCTCATAAAACTTTTTTAAGGAGCCCACCAAGCACAGCTTCAGGCTATCCACAATCTCCTGGTGAGGCATCTGGAATATCACTCGTGAATACCATTTTGTGAAGGTGCTGGGACAGGGGTCGGTAAAGAGAGAGACAGAGAGAGAAAGATGAGCAAACACAGAGGAAGGCCTGCAGCCGGGGTGTCAGCACACACACCTTCTCTATGAATCAACCCACAGCAAATATCTATAAATGCATTCAGGTTACACATAAGAACAGGTAGTGATATGGGGAAAAGATGTGTATTTAAGCCATATACAGAATGCAAAATTATATATATAAATGCAGATATTTGCTACAAAACTGCTTCCAGTAGAAAAAAACTTAACAACCTAGATATTCATCAACAGAGTACTTAGTTAAAAAAAAAAATAGTGATATAGCATATAATAAATCCTGTACAGCAGTTATAAAGAATTGATTAAGATTTATTTGTATTGATATGGGAAAATGTCCAAAAGACCCAGTTTAAGTGCATAAAACAAGTTGAGGAACAATATGCATAATAATATCCCATGTGTAAATAAATAAAAATATGTGTGTGTGTATATCACATATATGTGTTAATATATGCATAAAAGAGAATCTGAAAGTGTATATACATGAAACCTTTGGTGGTGGTTAATAAAAGATGGACCACTGAGGAACTTTCACTTTCTAATTTCTGTAGCCATTTGGAATGAGCATGCCTTATTTTTACAATCAGAACAAACAAACAAACAAACAAACAAACAAAAAATGCCTCTTTTCTGGGGGAGAAAAGCCAAAAACAACAAGGCACAGATCCCTTCCTTGAAGGAGGTGGCCCTCCAGCAGGGGAGCAAACTTGGACCTGTGACAAATTTGATAAATAGGCTGTATAAACCAGCATCATAGGAAGATAGAGTAAGATGGAATTTATAACTCTTTATATTATAATATGTAATACTAAAAAAAATATTTGCTGGATTTATAATAAGATTAGGCATCAAAATGAGGTAATCTGAGTAGTACTTACAGATTGATGCTTGCAACGAAGCCAACCACGGAGCGCATGCCTCTGCTGGGGTCGTGGTAAACATCCATCCCGATCACCATTAATTGTTTCTAGGTTGGAAAATAAAAACAAAAAGCAAATCCAAAACCCAAGCAATCCATTGCTCCACTTTTAGTTATTATCTGAACCCCATACTGTTTCCATGTGAAAATAAATTCTGGGAAAAGAAGAGAAAGACTACAACCAACCTGACACTTTTTTTTTTAAAGATGACCGGTAAGGGGATCTTAACCCTTGACTTGGTGTTGTCAGCACCATGCTCTCCCAAGTGAGCTAACCGGCCATCCCCATACAGGGATCCAAACCCATGGCCTTGGTGTTATCAGCACCAAACTCTCCCAAGTGAGCCACAGACCAGCCGTAACTTGACACTTTTTAAACACAATGAACAAAGCCAGAGATCTAGACCAGGGATTGGCACACTTTTCCTGTAAAAGGACTAAAGACTAAATATCGTAGGCTTTGTGAGCCATATGGTCTCTGCAGGGACTATTTGAATCTGCCTTTCTAACACAAAAGCAGCCATAGACAGCACGTAAAGGAGTGTGGCTATGTTCTAGCAAAACTGTATTTAAGGACACTGAAAACTGAATTTCATGTAATTTTCATGTATCATGAGATATTGGTTTTTTATATTTTTCACCATTTAAAAATGTAAAAACCATTCTTAGCTTGTGGTCTATCCAAAAACAGGCAGCAAGCCATTTAGACTACTGAGTAAGCATTGAGAGTAGGAAGAATAACCAGCTGAGGAAAACTAGGAAAAGAGCTAGGTGGGATTCCCTGGAGAGCTGAACTGAATAAAGACATTATCTCAGCATCACTCACCAGAGGGATATCCACTCCCCAGAGCTCACCACCCAATTTACAGTTAATCTGAAGTAGAATTTTCTGGGCCACACTCCGAAGCCTGGTGGGCTGACCAATGGTTCGAACATTGATGACCTATAATGAAGAGACCAAAAGGTATGGGAAAAAGCAAAACACTATCAACCTCACAGAAAATATGAACAAGTCTATAGTAAATACTACATTTGTTTAAGAAACTTGAGTTAGCAGACATTATGTTTTGCATTAATAGCTCTAATGCTAGGGTTTCTAGGCATGCATGTACATGGTGCACGCACGCGCGCGCGCACGCACACACACACACACACACACACACACACACTCCATCCACCCACACATAGAACAAAAAAACAACAAAAGGACACTTTCAAGAGGATCTCATGCAGAGTGGAATTTTTTTTTCTCAACTCCCACAGGAAAAACAGCTTTCCCCTTTGAGAGTGAAGCCTGTACTCTCAGAACCCAGTCATGTGAAACCACCTGGCAACGCAACCTCCAAACAGGCAAAACTGCTCATCTGGGAACACAACGGCAGCATTTATAAAGAGCTCTCAGCAGATTTTGCCAGGTTACTCTAGTCAGAAGAAACTTTCACCAAAAGGCTCTAGACGTACTGGCGTCTAATAACTATTTTAGTCTTTGTGAACACACATACCCCTCTTTTCGAGTCTCAGGAGAGGCTAGAGGTGTCTGTGCCTCTCTCCTCAACTCCAGCTCACCTGGGAGGGCACTGGGGACTGCACACAGCACAGCTTCTTGATGGCCCCATAGAGATCATCTCGTGTGCCTGTGACGATGCAAACAACCATCTGTATCTTTCCCTGGAAGGAGACAGAGTATACATAAGTCAAGCTATGGAATTCCCTTGGGACTCTTATGGGACTCTTAGCCAGGCACAGTCTGGGTCTGCAAAGTCACAGGATCTTTAAGGTAGGCAGGGAACTGGAAGAAAGAGGGTGGACATTCCAATCAGAAAAAGGTCCTTGAATCTGAATTAGGATTTGTTTGGCTTAGGGCTACTCTGCATAGATAGGTAATATGCTACTATTAATTAACTAGAGATACCCCTGACTACCAAAACCTTAAATAATATTAGGAGACTTTAGGTGCCTTGAAAAGGACCAGGCTTGAAAATATGCAAGGGTTACATTCCTTACTGCTTTCAATTCCCTGTAATGTTTTTTACAGCTCTCTTTAACTAAGCAAATTATTACATTCATACCACAGACCTTTAATTGAGGAAACATGGAATGCAATACTATGTGAAAGGGTTCAGAGCCAAATGCAAAGCGAATGAAGCTAGTGCCAAATCCATAAGGAGCTATTCCTAACTCTCTGCTTAAAAGATACAGTGATATAGCCAGCAGCATATCTTGTTAGTATCCTCCATCCCTCACTGCTTAGGGGATCCAATATTGAAAACAGAGGATCTTTCAAAGTCTGTTCAAAGGAACACTCAAGAGAAACAAAGTTGCCAACCCTTTATGCCAGAAATGGCTACAAGTGGTAATCAGTAGCAGACTGCTCCAAATCAAGATTGGTGTTAGGTTAAAACTTCTCAGAAGACACATATTCCAGCAAATACATCAAAGAATTTCCACAGTTGTACAGAGCACAGGCTGTACAAAGAGTCTATGGGCTAGATACAACACACAGACGTGTTTTTCAGTCTCTGCAATGATTTATAAGTTTGTTTAACATTTAAACAGAGGGAGATGCACACATACACAAATCTAGATTTTTGTCTTCTATTAAAAAACAAATTAAAAATCAATTTGGCAATACTGGGCTTCTATCTCCAATCATAGGGATTACCCTCTTTAGTTTCTTATAGTCCCCTCCTGGCCCATTTCACTCACTTATGTTACTTATCTGGCCCCTGTAGATATATGAGTTTGTGATTCCTTACAAAAAGACTAATAAAACAGAATGCCCTAAGGATGTCAGAATGATAGCAAGACCAATATGAGATAAATGTGGCAAACATTATGAATGGAGCTCAAACCCATGCTACATGAAACAGAGTTGTGAAGTGTGGGGGCGGGGCAGATGAATGTATTAAGCTGGGTTATTCTTTTGAAAACAGATCAGAAATTATCAATGGTTAGGCCTGAGGGAGGCTATGGTAGAGTATGATAGGCATGGGAAGTCGGGAGGAAATCACAGAGAAACGCACAAAAGGGAACATGAGTGTGCTAGCATGAATGATATACCAAGAGTGACAGATCAAAAGGAGAATATGGGGATGCCAAGACAATCCAATTCTACAATTGATTGATTGACTGATCCCACCAGGACATTCAGTGCACCAACACAGTCTTAAATTCAAGTGCTAATTACTGCCTCAAACCTTTCCTCTGCTTTTGTTCTCTCCCTAATCTTCTTCCTCTATTTATAAACTGTTAAGAACCAAGCATGGAGCTAGCCGGTTAGTTCAGTTTGTTAGAGCACAGTGGCCTTGTAATACCAAGGTGAAGGGTTCGATTCACCTTACTGGAGAGCCACCAAGAAAAAAACAAAAAAACTGAAAGCGCTGAGCAACAGAGTTGTGAGTACTGTGACATGCTCAGCTCCAGTGTTCCTGATCAGTTCTCAGCACCAAGTTGAGGGGCCAGTTGCCAAGTTCATTGCCTGAGCAATTTGAATCTTGAGCCAAAGCACTGTGACAGCTCAGAACTGAATGGTGCAAGATGGCACCTGGCTCAAGTATTTGCTTTCGGTACACAACATGTTATACAGATAATGCACTAAAGTTAAGCCAGCTATTCTCTCAGTCAATTACATGAGAAAAAGAAGCCTAGTGTGAGTGAGGATGCCAACACAGAACGAGAGAAGCAAAATTAACCAAAGGGCATAAAGGACACTTTCTCAGTTCAGGATTCCACATGCATACAAGTAAGACATAGGTTCCTGGGCATTGTCAACAGCAGACTGATAACCAAGGTAATTTAAAGTCAAGTATTTTACAACAGAAATCATATAAATCTACTCAAATTAAAATAATGTATTACCTCAACTCCCAGCTTGGACTGAATGGTTCTGACATAGGTCTCTGTTCGGTCATCCTTGAGTTCAACCCAGGCGGGTGGGCTCATGCGCATACCAATGGGGCCAGCTACCTTCTCTAACATGTTAACCAGTTCTCGGGCCTGATCCATTGCTCTCTTTGGGTAAAAGAGTGCCCAGAAATGCATGGGGATCTAGGAATAACCACAAGGTATTTTTAGTACTTCTCTCAACTTAAACATTCCGAACGCATACTCAGGAGATTTTATTCTACAGAAAAAATTACTTTTCACTCCCTCTGCTTGAGTCCTGTGTTATCTAATTCCTGTTATTAACATGGATGTATGTGATAAGTAAACTGTGGCACATTCTCACAATGTAATAAAACACAGCAATGAGAATGTAAGATCTACAACCACACCTAACAATATGGATAAAACTTACCAATACAAGGTTGAAGAACAGAAGCCACACATAAAAGAACATATACTCTATGATTCCATATATTTTTTAATTACAAGAACAGTTGAATCTATGCTGTTAGAAGTCAGGATAGTGGTTATTCTTGGTATGTAGGGGAGTAAAAGATAGGTAGTAACTGGGAGAATGGAGTGGGGATTCTGGGGCACTAGTAAAGTTCTGTTTCCTAACTCTTGGTGTTGATCACACAGGTCTATTTAACTTGTGAAAATTCATCAAGCTATATATTTATACGTGTGCTTTTAAAATATTTCAATTGCAAGTTTTAAAATCAGATGTATTTTATTTTATTTTATTTCTTAATTTATGTATTTTACACATGGCTACAAACACCAGGTTGGTCAAAAATATTTAGAAATAATTATATACCATTTTGTTCTTTGATGCAAATGCCTAATATATAAGTTGCCTTGGGGGTACTGTTTTAATTTAATATGACTTTTCTCCTGCACAAAAACATCCTCCAGGAACCCCCAGGGGAAAAGAGAAAGGAACAAGGAAGAAAGAAGAGAGAGTGGGGTAACAGGCTGGTGCTATATGAATTACCTTAGCAACTTATTTCCTTTTATAAGTCTTGTGGTCGGGCAAAGGGCTTACCTTTAACAACTCATCAACTGCTCTGTTTGAAGGACCCCTATTTAGTAGATAATTCAGAATGGGACACTGATTGATACTTTCTCTCAAAGAGAGGACACTAGATCGCTCCTGCTTCCTAACTTGCACACTTTTGGGAAAACTGGTTCTCTCTTCACCACTTTAAAAATCACTTACAGTCAAGATGGAAGGCTCTCTGGTTACTTCTTTAACCCAGTTTAGCTCCTGAGACGTGATAAATGAAGTATTTCTTAAGTTAATTCTTTCCATTGGTAGAACACGTCCTTCAATCTAAACAGAAAATAAACCATCTATGACATGAGCCATCTTCAAACACTACTTAAGGAAACACTGATACTGTTCTCTTTGAGGCCTGGTATGTATGCTCCACCAAATAGACCTGTCCTTATTATAACTTTTGAGAATGGCTGAAAAATGAAACTTCTAGTAGCGAGAGTCCAGATCAATAAAAACCTGGACATAGGGCTGGCCGGTTAGCTCAGTTGGTTAGAGCGCGGTGTTGATAACACAAAGGTCAAGGGTTTGGATCCCCCTACCAGCCAGAGCTGAAAAAAACACAAAAAACAAAAACACCCTGGATATATGCAGGTAAAATTCTTACAGGTACTGCTCTTTCATTAGTGAAGCTTCCAACATGGTATACCAAGAAAAGGATTCGAAAACGTCTCTGCAGAAGCAGAGAATGAAGAAAAATAATCTTTGAAAATATTTTAAGGGAAAAATTGAAAGGAGATAATTACAGGCAAAATTTCTTTCTTTTTTTTTTTGTGACTGGCCGCACCGCGCTCAGCCAGTGAGTGCACCGGCCATCCCCATATAGGATCCGAACCTGCGGCAGGAGCGCTGCTGTGCTCCCAGCGCCGTACTCTCCCGAGTGTGCCATGGGCTTGGCCCGCAGGCAAAATTTCTTAATGAAGCTGAATATAAACTGTTTTACTTTATACCAGGGAAAAGCTAAAAGGAAAAAGGCAGAAATATAATGAAAGAATAAATTAAACTTAGGAATAATAAAGCAATTAGATCTAAATGTCCAAAAATAGAAAGATAACTAAGCTGTCTACAGCCATACCACCCTGAATGTGCCCAATCTCATCTGATCTCAGAAGATTACTAAAAGAGGGCCAACCCGTGGCTCACTTGGGAGAGTATGGTGCTGATTACACCAAGACCACAGGTTCGGATCCCTATATAGGGATGGCTGGTTAGCTCACTTGGGAGAGCATGGTGCTAACAACACCAAGTCAAGGGTTAAGATCCCCCCACCAGTCATCATTTAAAAAAGAAAAAAAAAAAAGATGATTACTAAACTGATGATACATCAATATGATGGACTACTTTGTAATATAACCCTGTTTTGCAAAAAGAAATAGTAAGGTATGCATCATCAAAACTGAATGAATCCAAACTTAGTAGTGATTAAATGAGGGAGAGGTGTAATTATGAAGAACATTTACTTTTTATGACCTCTACTGTCTGCTTTTTTAAAAAAATAACATTTTGTCTATAATCAAAAAAAATTTTAGGGCCGGCCCCGTGGCGCACTCGGGAGAGTGCGGCGCTGGGAGTGCAGGGACACTCCCGCCGCAGGTTCGGATCCTATATAGGACTGGCCAGTGAGCTCACTGGCTGAGCATGGTGCAGGTTGCAATCCCCTTACCGGTCACGAAAAAGACCAAAAAAAAAAAAAATTTTTTTTAATGATTTTTCTTAATATGTTAAAAGTATATATTATAAAGAATAAAGATATCCCTATTAGCAAGGGTATAAGAATCATTCTTTTTATCCTCATGAGATTAAAAAACTGTTGAGCCTTTCTAGAGGGCAATCGGCAATATATGATAAAAGTACTAAAACATAAATGTCCCCTAATTATTTCACCTTTATAAATTTTACCTAAGAAAATAATAACATGTGCAAAGATTTAGTTACAAGGATGTTCACTGCATTACTATTTATAACAGGAAAATATTAAACTCAATTTGAATGTAAAAAGAGTAGAAAATTGTTAACAAAAAGTATCAGGCAGCCACTAAAAATATTTAGAAAAATATCAAATGACAAGGAAAAACATTTAAAATATATTGAGGAAAAAATGAAACACCTGAATACATATTGTGTGTGTGTGTATGTGTATGACTTATGGATATTTTCCAAAATGTTAACAGACGTTATTTTGATGTAGCAAGATTTTCTACTTTGGCTTATATTTTCTAAACATTCAAATAATATCTAATAACATGAGAACATGATCAAGATACAATATTAAATGAAAAAAGATGTAAACCATATATAGCATAATCACAATTTAATAAGGAAAGACTTATTCTCACAGAAAATAATTTTAGGGGAAGTAAATACATTGAAAATATTATCTTTTATATGTGTCTAAAATAAATCACTGAAATATTGTTCTCCTTGGGCGATACAATTATTGGTGGTTTTATTTCCTTCTTTATATTTTCTAATGTTTCCACATTTTCTTTCTTTCTTTTTGGCAGCTGGCCGGTACACCAAACCCTTGACCTTGGTGTTTATAACACAGCACTCTAACCAACTGAGCTAACCGGCCAGCCCACATTTTCTTTACTGAGTATTACTTTTTAAAATTTTATCTTACACATTGCAATTGTACATACTTATGGGGTACAATCTGATATTTTGATACATATAAATGTTGTATAATAATCAGGTCAGGGTAGTTAATATATGAATCACCTCATGCATTTATCATTTCTTTGTGGAGAAAACATTCAAAAGCATCTCCTCTAGCTATTATATAATATACAAAACTTCCCGTTAATCCTCCTGTGCAACAGAACATCAGAATTTACTCCTCCTAGGCCGGCCCGTGGCTCACTCGGTAGAGTGCGGTGCTGATAGCACCAAGGCCATGGGTTCGGATCCTATATAGGGCCGGTTCGCTCACTGGCTGAGCGTTGTGCTGACAACACCAAGCCAAGGGTTGAGATCCCCTTACCAGTCATCTTTAAAAAAAAAAAGAATTTACTCCTCCTATCTAATTATAACTCCGTACTCATTGGCCAGCCTCTAAAAATATGGAACACTTCACAAATATGCGTGTCATTCTTGCATAGGAGCCATGCTAATCCTTCTGGCAACTACCCAATTTTGGTATATGTACACTGAAGCCAGCACAACCATCCATAACTTTTATAATCAGGAAAAAAAGAAACAAAGAGTCAATTCGGAGCACAAGAGAACTAGAGAAAAGGTAAAATTAATTATTTTGGTATAATCTCAAAAGAAATGTGAAAAGTAGTAATAAGTGAAATTTATCAAACGCTTTGTGCCAGATACTATGCTAAAGATTTTACTACTTAATTCTTTTAACTCAATCATTATCCTCATATTACAGATAAGGAAGCTAAAGAGATGTTAATCAATTTGCTCAAAGTAACCAAGAAGGAACATGGTAGAGCTGAGATTCAAAGCCAGAACAGCTGACACCAAAGCCCAAGCATGTTACCACTACACTATGGATCATGCCTGCACTAAATTCAAAACAGCTGGCCAGGCAAACTTCAGATGAAGGACCACAAGAAAATTAGATCATACAAGCTGGAGACTCTCTTATGCCTATGGCAAAAATGACATAGTATACTCAAAGAAAAACTAATTATTGAAATAGAAAAAAATTTTGATAAAAAAATAACAAAAAGAAAAAGGAAAACGATATATAGGATGTCAAAAATAATTTGGGTTAGAAAACTGAAAATGAGGTAAATTTTAAGTCAATATTCCTTTTGCTATCTATTTGACTGGAAATTAATAGCTCAGATCCCTGGGAAATAGAGAACCATAAAAGATACTAGCAAATTAACTCAAGGAAATTCAAGTACCATGACTGGAATGAAAAAAAGAATAAAACAAAACTCAAAAATAAAGACAAAATAGGAAGTTATCACATCTTACAGGCTCTAAAATCCTCAGCTGTTTCCCTCCCATCACATCTCTGCTTTACCTTATGTACATCCTTTTGCAGACTGAGCCCCCAACGTGTCAGTTCATTGCTGGCTGTCTCATTCTTTGAAATTCTCTGTAGCAAGTATTCCAAAGCACCATGGTGCTGTTTGGGGCTCAGGTTGATCTGCTGGGTCAAATCCTAAATAGAATTAAAATGGACACCAAGGTCAAAGGTTTGGATCCCCAAAGGGCCGGCCCATGGCTCACTTGGCAGAGTGCAGTGCTGATATCACCAAGGCCACGGGTTCGGATCTTATGTAGGGATGGCCAGTTAGCTCACTGGCTGAGTGTGGTGCTGACAACACCAAGCCAAGGGTTAAGGTCTCCTTACCGGTCATCTTTTAAAAAAAAAGGTTCGGATCCCTGAATCAGCCGGCCACCAAACACAAGAACAAAACAAAAAAAGAATTAAAATGGAAATAAGGAGATAAGTTATTACTTTCTCCAATATGAGATTAAATAAACCCCAGTGTGTCTAAAACATTTCCATAAGAAAACTCCCTTCCATGATAATCATTCGAAAATTTCAAAATCTCCAAGGACTTCAATAAATGTCTCTCAGGAACGTGACTGATGTCAAAAATTTAATAACAAAAGTAAGAATTTTGAAAAACACAGAAAAAATGTCTTGTGCCAGGCATCCAGCCAAACACAATAAAATGGAAAACCATATTCAGTCTTACAATTCATGTCATACTATACTGATTTAGTGTCACCATAACGCACTTTTTTTGCTAGAACTTGCCATAGCGTTTGACCCATAATAGGTGCTTATTATTTTTTTTTTTTGGCGGCTGGCCAGTATGTGGATATGAACCCTTGACCCTGGTGTTATCAACACCGTGATCTAACAACTGAGCTAACCAGCCTTTGAAGAGAGAAGAGAGAGTGAAAATAAGGCAGTGAAAGAGAATTGTACTCCCTGACTTATATAAGACGTGCCATGGCCCAGGGCTGGTCCTGCAGTAATATAATGTACACATGAAGGATCATAAAACACCAGAGAAGAAGGTGGTAAAACACTTCAAGTATTTTACCCTTTTCCCCCTCACTCACAATGCATATACCCTGTTATATTAGGTAAAGGGGAAAATACTGAAATTATTAAAAGGAGAGGATAAACTAGAAAAGCAAAAATATTTCTGTCCCTCTTGGGCCTCAAGACAATGGTAGGACAATACATCCTTCCAAGCTGTGTGCCTCAATTTCATGTCATCCTGCTGATCCCCAGTCTTCACATTTAAAACAGGGGAGTCAGATGACAAGACACTTTCCTCCGCCCCCACCCTTGTTAAAATAAATGTCTATACCTTCCCTAATGGATCCAGAGTTTTAATCTTCATTCACAGGAAATTCTCCTTATTCCTTTAACCTAAATTGCTCATGCAGATATTTAGCCCCTCCTTGTGAGGACTTCAAAAGCAACTCCTACCAGTGTGAAGTGGCACCTCTGGCTAGCAGAGACAGATAAAACCCAGCATGGTGTCCCCAACCACACTGCAATCACTGCGCCACGGCTCCTGCAGAGCCGCAAGGAAGACTTAAAAGTGGCTGATAGGATGAAGAACTTGAGCTGGAAGTATAAGCCTGATGCCCCCACTCACCGTCCCACGGTTATTCTGCCTCTCAGTGGGCCTGTGGATCAGCAGTGGCTGGTCCTCTTCCTTAACTGTGATCCCATAGTTTTTGCTAGGGCAGGATAGAGGCAAGAAAAAATTTCAGAAGCAGCATCACTACTCTTACAGCAACATAATCTGAGTGTCTATGCCAGGATTGAGGAATGCAATTTGCATAATACCCTTGTGTCAAGGATCCATTGGTAACTGATCATAATATATTTATAACTGGAAAATGGAGGCTCAAGTTCCATTGCAATTACAGGAGAAAGAAATAAGTCTAAAAGTCCAAGAAAGAATTTGTTAAAAGCTGCATCAGGCTAAAGGCTTAGGCAATAGAAAGTTGAAATGATAGTCAAATGATTAATGGCTCAAATTTAATCTTTGCAACTAGACTTCTAGCAAAATCAGCTAAAGAAATATAACTCAAAGCCCTAAGGTTAACTTTTGTGGTAACTTCCAAAAGTACTAAAAGAAATGAAACTATAAGGGTAGCATATTCAGGTCAAATCCCACAAAAGAGCTCATTCAATCTTAGACACATTACCAATTCAAGTATTTTAAAAGTTTCAAGCTGTATGCTATTACAGAACTCAATATCCTGCCAGAGAATAGTAGACTACACCCCATCCCCACCTGTAGGCCCAAACCCAGTCTCTGCTTTCTACCTGTAGTATTCCAAGAATGTGATCTCCTTCCCATCAGACATTGTGAAGCTATCTTTTGCAGTCTTATTCCAATCCACATCATCAATACGATACGTACGATTGTTGTATCGGGTGATAACAATATTGCCAACCAGAAGCTTAGTACACTCATCCTGGAAGTTTTCTTTGTTCTGCTGATACATGACATGCCTTTGGAAAGAGACAAAAGACTTTTAGATCACATTTGTATACATAGAGAAATGTGAAAAAGATAAGGGAATCAAATAAGTAATTTAGGGGTCTAATTACAGCTATGTAGCACCAGAAGCCTCCAGTTGTGTCTTCTAAAAGATGGGACTCCCACCTCTTTTCTTTTTTTTTTTTTACTGAATCATAATTGATTATACATATTTTGGGGGTTCAACGTTGGCATATGTTGATCAAATCAATATTATTAATATATATATTATTACAAATCATACTTATTCTTTTATGCCTCTTGTCCAATCTCTCCCCATCCCTCTTTCCCTCCCCCTTCCCCCTCTGATAACCCTAGATTTCTCCTCTTCTTCACCTCTTTTCTCTTTAACATTAAAAACAAAACAAAAAATAGTGAAAAGATAAAAATCATATTAAAAGCAACAACTACAAATTGATAAAATTCAATCTATTGCCTAATTTTAAAAAAATTTTGGTGGCTAGCCAATACGGAGATCTGAACCCTTGACCTTGGGGTTATCAGCACCATGCTTTCCTGAGTGAGTTATATGTATTCTTTAAAATAAAGTACTTTTTTTTTTTTCCTTTTTGTCTTTTTTCGTGACCGGCAACGGATCGCAACCCTCAGTGTCACGCCCGTACCGGACCGGGACCGGCAACGGGATCGCAACCCTCGGTGTTGCGCCCGCACCTCGCTCAGCCAGTGAGCGGCTGGTCTGTACGTGGGATCCGAACCCTCGGCGGGAGCGCCGTCGCGCTCCCAAGCGGCGCACTGTAACAGTGCGCCACTGGGCCGGCCCTAAAATAAAGTACTTTTATCATCAAAACAATTATTATTTTGTATCATCATTACTGGAATACACTCTCAAGAGGCACAATAAAAGCATTCTTTAAACTATATTCGCCATTTCCTAGCTGAAAGAAGAAATTACTATGCAAGTACCTGGTTAAGACAGGCACTGGTTAAGATACTGAAGATGGAGAGATGAAAAGACCAACAACAGACAACGTACTCTCCAGAAACCTTTGCAACAGTGCAGGAACAAGGCAATATAGGAAACTCAGGGACACCATGTGCAGAGACACCCAGGGTATCAAGGAAAGCTTACAGAGGTGGCTGACACTTGAAGGGGGAATCTGCCAGGCAAAAATGGCTGGGGCAGTGCCAGTCAGTTAGCTCAGCTGGTTAGAGCAAGGTGCTGGTAATACCAAAGTACAGGGTTTGACCCCTATACCAGCCAGCTACCCCAAATTTTAACAAAATAAAATATAAAATGGCAGGGGCAGGAGGATGGACAACACTCCAGGCAGAGGAAGGTATGTAGGAGACAACCAGGGATCTGGGATTAGGAATTGGCAGGAGGCAGAAGAGGGGCAGAAAATGGTAAGCCATAGGCTGAAGGTGGTTAGGAGCTAGATATGAATTCCCTTGTAAATCAACGATCAGACTCAGACTTTTTTCTGTGGGCTGGTGTCACCCAGGGTATATTCCTCAGGATCAGCAGTCCCGTGAGAGGCTGTGAGGCAGTGAAATGGTTTCATCATCCAAAAGCTGAGGCCATCCTACATGTTATAACTCCTTACCGGAGAAGCACAACACACACTACCACATCGGGCTCTGAAAAGTGCTGAAGTAGAGACACGTTTAGCTTTACTGACTTCCAGTTTATTTAACCACAGAAACCTCCCCACCATTTAACTTTGTACCTCACTGAACATCTATTACCATTCTGTGAAATTACTATTCTGCAGGACTTGCCTTAAGAAAGATCACAACAAGTGATGAAAAACCATCAGAGCCTTGGAGTTATTCACTGACTATAGACTCTGGAGCCAAAATGCCTCGATTCAAATCTTGCTCTGCCACTTACTAGACTGTGAGACTCTGAGCAAGTTACTTAGCCTCAGTTTCCTCACGTGAAAGTGGGGTTACTAAAAGCACTTAACTCATAATGTTGCTGAGAAAACGAAATGGCGTTTTATATATATAAAGCACTCAGAAGTGTGCCTACCACAGGTAACAGAACTGAGTGTTTGCAAATACCATCATCACCATTATTGTCATTAGTGCTTAATACATACCAGATGCAGTTATGCTATGTGTCTGATGTTAAGTGAATGGATTACTAGAATGAGCAGCAAGGACCACATAAATGTGTGGCCTTATTCTGTCTGCCTGAATACAGAGGAGAGGTTGCTAATGACAGTGCACAATACACATATGTAATTATGAAAGTCAAAAACAACTACTAGCATAGAATATTTATTTAGGGCCGGCCCGGTGGCGCACTGGAGAGTGTGCCACTTGGGAGTGTGGCGGCACTCCCGCCGAGGGTTCGGATCCCATGTGGAGACCTGTTCCCGCTCACTGGCTGAGCGCGGTGTGGGCGCAACACCGAGGGTTGCGATCCCGCTGCCGGTCCCCGGTATGGGCGTGACACCGAGGGTTGCGATCCCGTTGCCGGTCCCCAGTATGGGCGCGACACCGAGGGTTGCGATCCCATTACCGATCAGTAAAAAAGACAAAAAGGAAAAAAAAAAAGAATATTTATTTAAACAATTTTCAAGTTGTAACTTATTTTCATAACCCTTATAACAATTCTCAATTTTCTCTCACCAAATCCCTTTCCCCTCATTATTGCCTTCTGTACCAAAAGGGGGTGGGGGGAAGGAGGAGACAGACAAGAAAATGCTAAAAGGGCTTGAGTCTCAGGAAATAAAGAAGATAGGCCCATATACTGTTATTCCAATATCCACTATTGGAGAGTAGACAAAAATGAATGACTTTAAACTGCACATATTTTACTTGGAATCCAAAAAAAATGTAAGCGGGGTTTTTGGCAAAATGTCATTTGCTTAAACATTTCATATATTTTTCATGCAAGGAATGCCAAAACACAAAGATAAACCAAGTGGCAAGGCTTTTTTCTAAGTGGTGAGATTACGGGTAACATTTTAGTTTTTGGATTTCTTTGCATTTTTAAAAGTTTCTATAATAAACATATATATGTAAATTTTGAAATAACAAAATTATCAAAACAGACATCATTGGGAGTTATTTTATCATGGGTAGAGAGTTTCTGTTTGAGATGAAAAAGCCCTGGAAATGGATACTGATGATGGTGCACAACATCGTGAATGCACTCAGTGCCCAAGTGTGCAATGAAAATGGTAGAAATCGTAAGCTTTATGCTAAAATGGTGAATTTTATGTTATCAACATAACATAACCTAAAAATTGAGCATGATGAAAAATACCTCGATTTTGTTTGGGTGTTTCTGGCAGCTGGCCAGTACAGGGGTCGAACCTTGAACCTTGTTATCAGCACCATGCTCTAACCAACTGAGCTAACCTACCAGTCCCCATGAAAAAATCTCAATTTTAAAAATTTAAAAATCATACCTCATTGGCAAAACTATTTTTTCAAAAATGGTTAAATTAAGCAGATGGTACTTATCAAAACACTTTCTAAATCAGTCACGAGCTATAATCAGTTTATTTTCTTGACAGTAATTGTAAGTATTAAAATTATGATACAGAACACACAAGGTGAAAAAATAAATGCTATTACTCAGACACGCATCACATAGAGAGGCAGTAGGAGGCAAAACTACTTTTTTTAAATGAGGTTTGAGATTTTATTCCAGATCTTTTTATAAATTTTGGCTTCCTATTTGCATCGTTTGGATCATCAATATATATGGTTTTATGTTTAGTGTTCAACTCACCACTATGTATAAAATATGTGCAACACTGTAGAAAACTAAAAGTATTTTTTACTCAAACCCTTCAACTATGTTAATGGTTGTACAATTCTATTTCACTAACTGAAGGGTACCTTAATTACTGGTATATTACTTTCTGAGTAACAGTTCTATTGTTTCACTCTTACAAATAATAATAAGCAATTTACAATTGCTTCTTTGAGACCGATTCCCTGCAAGTGGAATTACTAGATTAACAGGTTAAAACTTTAAGGTTCTTGGGCAGAGCCCGTGGCGCACTCGGGAGAGTGCAGCGCTGGGAGGGAAGCGATGCTCCTGCCGCAGGTTCGGATCCTATATAGGAATGGCTGGTGCGCTCACTGGCTGAGCGCGGTGTGGGCGACACCAAGGCGAGGGTTGTGATCCCCTTACCGGTCACGAAAAAGACAGAAAAAAAAAACCAAAACTTTAAGGTTCTTGAGATCCAGAGACTACCTGCATTAGATTTTTTCTTTCTTTTTTGGCTGCTGACTGGTATGGGGATATGAACCCTTGACTTTAGTGTTATAACACAGTGCTCTAACCAACTGGGCTAACCAGCCAGCCCAATTTTTTTTTTTTTAATTTCTTACTTTGAAATAATTATAAAATCACAGGAAGCTGCAAATTTTGTGCCTAAGATCCCATGTACAAAACAAACACTGGTACAATATCATTAACTAGAATACAGATCTTATTCTGTTTTCACTGGTTTTTTTTTACATACATTGATGTGTGTGTGTGTATGTGGATGCAGGTCCACACAGGGTTTTTCTGGTAATTGTTCTATTGTATTACTAGTGATTGTTGTTAATCTCTTACTGTGCCTTATTTATTTATTTACTTTTTGCAGCTGTCTGGTACAGGGATTGAGCCCTGGACCTCGCTGTTATTAGCACCATGCTCTAACCAACTAAACTAACCAGCTGGCCATCTATGCAGTTTTATCTCATTTAGAGTTTTGTGCAGCTACCACAAGCAGATAGAGAACTGCTTCATGTCACCACCAAGGAACTATTTCATGCTATCCCTTAATGTTCACACTCCTCCTCCTTCCATGTCCCCACTAACCTCTAATCTTTTCTCTATCTCCTAGTTTTGTCATTTTGAGGATGCTCTATAAATGGAACCATAAATTATGCAGCATTTTGAGATTAGGAAAATTCAATCTGGGGCAGCGACGGGAACCCATGGCAAGCTAGCTACAAGCAGCAATGAGGAAAAACCAAAGCTCTTTTAGTCCAGGTT